TTTTTGGTATGTATGCATGTACTTATGTGCGTACGTAAATATATTTATGAATGTATATATGTAAATATTCATGCACACAGCAAGTAGAGTTAGGCAGTTTAGTTCTTTTGAGTGAACCGTTCAGTTGTAGTACGCTCACCTTAGTGAACTAGCTCTCATTCAGTTTATTTAGTTCAATTGACGTATTATCATATTATTATCATACATATTACATACAAACTAGAGGTTTACGCCGACAGGCTTTTCGTCAGCGGCGGCGACGCCGGCGCGTCTGGAAACGCCGGCGCTACAGCCCATAAGGTAGATTCCAAACAGACATAAAGCTACTAATCTTATCATGTGCTCTCGTCAGCGTTAGGCATTCGCCATGCCAATTCCGATTATAATTATAGATAATTCATTCTCTGAATTATTTTTAAATTTAAATTATGTTATTTCCTAATTGAATTAAAATGTTCAGTCTCTGGCGCTGATGGACGGGCGAACAGAAGAAGGTCTGAGGTATATATATACATACATGGTTCTCTATGTTCTCTGCAGATCCGTATGTACTATTTAAATTTAAAGAAATAAAAAAAAATTTTTAAAATTTAAGTTACTGGGGTAATTTATGTCGCTATTAATAAATTTTTGCAATAATCTTATCAACCGTTATGTTAAATTACAGAGTTCTTACGATTTTTTGCAGGTTATATATTGAAAACAAGGTTGGTCTACTTTTTTCCAACAGTTTAACACATCAACTCTCACCAGAACGGGCCTTTTTGACCCACTGTTAAAAAAATTGCTTATAAATGGTTAAAATTTCAACCAAAAATGTTCTAAAGAGGACCAAATGTAATGAAAAATAATACTAATTTTTACCAAAAAGGAGGAACTTTAACCCTGTGTAGAAAACATTGCGATACGGGGGAGCAGAACCTTCCTGGGGTTTGACTGCCACTTAAGAATGCTTACGTAATTCTCACACAGCCACCTAGTAAAAATTAGCAAAAAAGGGGTTGCTTTTTATTAAAAGTCTGTTTAAAATATTTAAAAAAATATTCAGGAAGATCAACTTCTCTTTGTTTTATCTCCAATAATTGAGGAGTTAGATGCAAACTGCTTTCTGAGATATTGGCGGTAAAGTTTTAATTTAACTGTAATAAACGCTTTCGATTGAAAAACGTGTTACCTGTTAGAGTCCGACCGATGAATCGGCCGATGCCGAGGCTAGTATCGGCCAAAAGAATCGGCATCGGCCGTTTTTGGCCGATTCTTGAATGAGGTTATGTTATTTAGCCTTCTAACCATTATAACCGTCGGTAGACGGTTATTGTTTTTTTGCTAATAAATCTTACTAAAATTATATAGCAATATTAAAACACATAACAACGCGGCTCAGTGGTTATGTGCTTTGTGAATTTAGACTAATATGCTCTTTTTACAATTAAAGTTGTGAGTCAGTGTGATAGGTGAAATAAATTACTGTCATAAGTAGTGATTTTTTAGTTCCGGTATTTATTAAGACTTGAAAACTTTATAGTAAGTAGGAAACATTATTTAATTTCATAATTCAGTGTGTTATTGTGAATTAAGCAAAAATTATATATATATTTACAGTTTTTTCTGATGACCATCTGTAGGCGGTCATAACGGTTAACGCCAAAATTGACATATTCAAGTGCGTTTCATAACAGTATACTTTTCGAAGTTTGGTTTTGGTCTCTATATCACAGATTGTGCTCTGGTGAAATCCAAAATCTTCCCTTAGACCCTGTGTGCATCCACAGGTCTCAGGCTTCCCCTGCTAGGGAGTAGTTGCAGTGGTGGGTGCGGTTTGCATCTGCTTTGCACTTCTTTTGTACCATTTCTCACCGTTTATGTTGATGCCGTCTACACACGGTCAAAATGTTTTTACTCCTAGCGTACGTATTTTCACAGGTTAGACGGTTAGTTATTTGATTATGTTTTTCTTTTGTTGTTATAAAAGTTTATAAAAGCATTTGTTCTTGAAATCAATTTATATTCAGGATTTAATCGGCCGAAGCATCGGCCAGTTCTTTGCCGATTAAAACAAATGCTTTTGTAAAGCGAGTCACGCCGCCGTCATGCCGTTTTTTGTCATTCCTCACGCGCCGTCGCCGAGTTACGAAAATATTGACGCGGCGGCGGCGTTCGGCGCCTAAGGAATTTAGTACAAAATTTTCATGATATATGCACGTTGAAATACATCGTTCGAAGGAACAACTCTACTCGATATTTTACGAAATGAAAATTACATTTTTAAAAGAGTTTTTTACCTAATTCGGACCCCTTAATGGGAATATGATCTCTTTTATTTTTCAAAAAAAGTGTAACCCCGAAAAAACATGAGAAACACGTTTTTTGATCGAAAGTGTTTATTGCAGTTAAATTAGGGTCCGACACTGTAATCTGCCGATTTTTTTACGCAGTAGTCAATTTTTTTCAATACCACAACAATACTACTTTTTTATATTCTACAACAAAAATAAACTTTAACGCTAATATCTCAGAAATCAGTTTTAACAGAAGTGCCCTTATTGCATCTAACTCCCCAATTGTTAGAGATAAAACCAAAACAAGTTGATTTTGTATTTATGTATTTTTTTCTTTATAAGAGTTGAATACTTTTTAAAGAGATTTTTTAATAAAAAGCAAAACCTCTTTTTTGCTAATTTTTAAATTCGTAAGTTATTTTATTCTGGGGTCCCACAGAGGTATTCAAGTACTAGGTGTCTGTGTGAATATCACGTTAGCATTCATAAGTGGTGGTCAAACCCCAGAAAGGTTTTGCTCCATTGAATCGCAATGTTTTCTACACAGGGCTAAAGTTCCTCCTTTTTGGTGAAAATTAGTCGTTTATAATTTTATGGAAATCTTAACCATCTATAAGCCATTTTTTAAACAGTGGGTCAAAACGGCCCGTTCTGGTGGGATTTGATGGGTAAGACTGTAGGAAAAAGTAGACCACCCTTGTTTTCAACCTACAATATTATTACAAAAATGTATTAAAAGCGACATAAATTACTCCAGTAACTTAACTTTTTCTTTTATTTTGCTCTATTCTATTTTCTCTATTCTATTCTATATTTTCTATTTTCTTTAAATTAAAATAGTTCATTCGAATCTGTGGAGACCATAGAGAACCATGCATGTACAGTGACGAGCAAAACTGTAACATGGTGTAACACTTTTTAATTCACCCACCGCTATGTTTCCAAGTTCTGACGACTTTCATCCTTTTGTTGTATATTCTTGTTGGTACATCCCTACTCCCTCTCTCATAACGATTTGAAGTCAATACAACAACAATAAAAAACCCAGCAGACAAAAATGTAAATTAAGGCAAATGTTACAGTTTTGCACTCACTCTCAGTTTTGCATTTTACAGTTATTTTTTACTTAGTTGGAAGTTAGATGACTTTTTTCTGTATTGTAATTTATTGAAGAAGTAATCACCAGTAAATAATATAGTTAATCAGGAACCATAAATGTAAATAATAGATTTACAGTGGAAAGGCGGGACCGCAGGAAAGTGGCAAAAAATTGTGGAGTTTGCTACTTGAGAATATTTAGATTGATAAAAAATATAGCCTAAAGTGTTCCCAAGGGCAAAGGAAGTCTATCAAAAAATATTACCGTTGAGTTCATGTATGCATTTTCTCAAGTTTATTAGTTGTATGATCACATAATGGTTAATGTCAGCAATGTAAGCGCATACGGGTTAACGACTTTGACGTTCTTTTTGTTATGCCCTTTTTGGTTTGTACATTTTTGCACATTTATAATCACTAGTTAGTTAATACCCGCTCGCTAAGCATCGTTTTTTCCGCAATCTCCGCGAAGTTCGCCCGCTTAATATTTCGTAGTTTATCTAACGCTTTACCTGCAATAATTATTGTACAAATTTAGCGCTATTGTTAGTGAATAAAGACACTTGAATTTAATCTTTATCAAACGCTTTTAATTTGGAACAAAGACGAGTTTCATACGCAATTCGCCGCAACATATGCTGGTCCTTCGGTCCGGATTTGCTAATTCCGCTTGCTAGTTTGTGTGAATATTAAATATACGTGCATACATACATACGTACGAGAAAAAGTCTAGAGTTTATAATCCGCAAATAAAAACTAAAGAAAACAGAGTGCTACCCGCAAGTGAACTAAAACAAAATACTAGAGCTATAATTGCGATCCCTGCTAAACACAAAAGTGCTACTTGCAATTACGGCAAGTTACTTTAAGGCTAAAAAATACCGTGCGTGGATTTTAGACAAATAGAGCCGATTTCAGCGCATTAACTCGCTTGTTACATTGGTGCGGTCGTCCTTCCTTTAACCTTAAGAACCTCTATAAACCTAACGCGTCCTTCAATTGTCCTTTGCAAGTGCCAAATATTAAATTTGTGACCTACGAACGACTCGTCAAAAGCAAAACGAAAAATGTCGAACTTCGTTAAAACGCGCGATTCTGCGCTCAATGCCATTAAGCGATATATGGCTAAGAGCACTGACGAAGCATTTTTAATGGACGCAGAAAGTGTTAAAAGTTTTCTGCAACTCCTTAACGAACAGTGGGCTCGTTTCAATACCGCTCATGACGCGGTAGAACTCTCGTGCGGAAGTGATAATACAGAGGTCGAAGAAAATGTGCGAATTCAAGCCGAGACTTGGTATTCTACGGCTTTAGCCAATTTTAATCGCGTACAGAAGTGTCGTACCGAATCATACCCCTCGCCCGCTCAAATGCCAGTGTCTGCATCGATACGTCTGCCCAAAATGGATTGGTTTTTTTGATGCATTTTCTTCGCTGGTGGATAGTAATGCCGCATTGTCGCACGGACAAAAGCTGCACTATCTCCGAAGTTGTCTGAAAGCTGACGCTTTAAAAATTATAAGTGGCTTCAAAATATGTGACGCTAATTACGATGAAGCTTGGGACCTTTTGAAATCGCGCTTTAAGGTCATGCGGGTAATAGTGGAAGGGCATCTCAGAGCTATGGCCGATGTTAAAAAGGCTACTACTGATACTGCCGACACAATAAAAAGTGTAATCGACGCATTTCAACAACACATACGCGAACTTAAGGCTTTAGGTCGACCAGTAGAGTTTTGGGACGATTGGTTGGTACACGAAGTAGTAAACAAATTAGCATTCGAGACGCGTAAACAGTGGGAGCTATCACTCGTCAGTGATAAGCCTCCGTCGTTCGAGCAGCTGTCCACGTTTTTGGAAGTTAGGTGTCGGTCTCTGGCCATGCTTTCGTCGTCAACTTCACTACCCACCAAGGGTAAAACCACTTCAGCGAGCAAGTCCACGAATGTGTTTCACGCAGTGCAGGAACAAAACAGCTCAGGTTGTACCTATTGTAAAGGTCCTCACAAAATATATAGTTGTGATAAGTTTCGCAACCTGGACTCAAACGCGAAATCGAAGTTTGTCAGAGAATCGCGCGTGTGTACGAACTGCTTAAGCTCCGGTCATTACAAGGCAAAATGTAATAGCTTCTCTGCATGCAGGATCTGCCAGCAACGTCATCACACGCTGCTGCATAATGCCTCCTCTACAACTAACGTCACAACCACCGCTCATTTTGTCAACAATGCGTCCCCTGTCACGCCATCCCCTCTCGCCGCGAATGCCACACTACAATCAAACGCAAACACTTCATCCGCTATCGCCTCGTCCACAGGCTCCGCTGCTGTATGGACATCCTCGTATTTGAATGCTAGCTCCAACCCGCCGCGTCCAAAAGACAGAACTGTGCTATTGGCTACCGCCTTAGTCAAGGTCTGCGATTTTTGTGGTCATTAGCAAACCGCGCGCTTGCTGTTTGACTCCGGCTCACATGCGTTGTTCGTAACTGAGGCATGTGTACAACGTCTAGGTCTACCACGAAAAGCGTCCGCAGTATCCATTACTGGCATCGGTTCGTCGCAAGGAGGCCGCTCTAGAGGTGAGGTATTACTTGTTTAGATGAATGCTTCCCTATCAACGCGTTAATCTTAACCAAGATTACAAGCGACTTGCCCACACAGACTTTGTCAGTTTTAGCGTGGCCGCATGTGCAAGGTTTATTCTTAGCCGATCCGCAGTTCATGAAACCCGGGCGTATCGACATTCTGGTTGGTATGGACGTCATGCAACAGCTCCTTTGCTCAGAAGTCCGTAAGGGTCCACCTAGTACGCCGATGACTCAGCGCACTGTCTTTGGTTGGACGCTATTTGGAAGCGTCGACGGAATAGAACCTGCTGCACCTCGCCTAAAGTCGCTGCACTGCGAAGTCCAGTTAGATAGAGCTCTTACTAGACTGTGGGAGTTAGAAGAAGCTCCGCAAAAGACCCACCTCACGTACGAAGAGCGTCACTGCGAAGAACTCTTCGAAAAAACGCACCAAAGAGCTCCTGACGGTCGCTTTGTAGTTGAACTGCCGCTGAAGACCGACGTACTTCTGGGCGATTCGCGAAGTTATGCTGTCCAAAGCCTACTACGCATCGAGAGGCGCCTTGCTCGGGACGACGACCTGCGGCTACGCAACAATGAGTTCATGCAGGAACTTCTCGACATGAATCATATGGAGCTCGCACCAGAATCAACGAGTCAAATGTTTTACATGCCGCATCACCCTGTTGTAAAGAATTCGAGCGTTACCACTAAGCTGAGGGTCGTTTTCAACGCGTCGGCTAAAACTGCCACCGGAAATTCGCTGAACGACGCATTATTTGTCGGTCCTCAACTGCAGGAGGACTTATTTTCAATTTTAACGCGTTTTAGAACGCATCGCTATGCACTGACCGCGGACGTTGCGAAAATGTACCGCCAAGTATGCGTAGCACCGAAGCACATTGATCTACAGCGAATTGTATGGCGTCGAGATCCGAGTTTACCTATACAAGACTATCGTATGCTGCGCGTAACTTACGGCGTGGCAGCCGCGTCTCATCTAGCTGTGAGATCGCTACAACAAACCGCAAAATATTCGCACATTTGTGAGAAAGCTTCTGCTGTCATCCACAAAGACTTTTACAAGGACGATCTCATCACTGGTACATCGTCCAAAGAAGAGCTGCTACTTTTACAGCAAAATGTCTCCGAAACTCTGAAAGAAGGTGGCTTCGAGCTCCGAAAGTGGGCATCGAGTTGTGCGGAACTTTGCGAAAAAATATCAAATGCATCGAAAACAATATCTCACTACTTAGTCGACGGTGAGGATGTCCATGCTTTGGGTCTAGTGTGGAAAACAGCAGAGGATTACCTAGCGTTCGTGGTTAATTTGAAGAAGCCACCCGCTATTTTAACGAAGAGAACCTTTCTATCTGATGCTAGCACGCTTTTCGATCATCTGGGGCTGCTCGCTCCAGCGACGATAAGATCGAAAATGTGGTTCCAGGAGATTTGGCGTAACAATGTTGGTTGGGATGACGTCATTCCTGACTCTACTGCAATGAAGTGGTTGGAACATCGCTCGGAGCTGCAACTTCTTTCGAACTTGAAGGTAACTCGCTGGATTGGCTCAGGTGCAACTGGGTCATTCACTGAGCTGCATATCTTTGCTGACGCGTCCGAACGAGCTTACGCCGCCGTTATGTACGCGCGCACCTTGCAACCCGACGGCCGGGTCACTGTTGCGCTGATCTCGTCGAAGTCCAAAGTAGCGCCGCTTAAAACAACAACGCTGCCCCGTCTAGAACTATGCGCTGCGCATCTCGCTGCTAAGTTGGTGCAAAGCGTGTTACACAGTTGGGACGATCTCCGCTATCCGCTGTATGCCTGGACGGACTCCACAATCACGTTGGCGTGGATACAAGCGCATCCTAGCAAATGGCTGACGTTCATCGCCAATCGGGTCGCTGACATTCAGGAAATTCTTCCTCCTGAGTGTTGGAACCATGTCCGCTCGGAACTGAATCCAGCCGATTGTGCCTCGAGAGGTATAACTCCATCTGAGCTGCAGCATCATCAACTGTGGTGGACGGGCCCCGAATTCTTGAAGAGCACTGACCAGTTCTGGAAACAAACCTCGTCTAAACAGCACACAACCGAGATAGGCGTTCGAAGCAAAGTCGTTGCTCATGTTACGAGCTCAAACGAGCATTGGCCTATAACGCTGAAGTATTCGTCGTTTTCCAAACTGCGCCGTATCATCGCTTACGTGCTAAGGTTCTTTGTCAACGCTCGAGTGAATACTCGGCTCAATGCTGCTAGGCGATTCGGTCCTCCGAGTTGTCAAGAGTTATCCGAAGCTGAACTGCGCCTGATCAGGTATACCCAATCATTCTATTTTTCTAACGAAATCTCTCTTTGCAGCGCAAAAAGGCCAATCCCGCTTCGCAGCAGTCTTTTGCGCTTGCAGCCATACCTCGATGAGAAAAATGTCTTGCGTGTTGGAGGTCGTTTGAAGCATGCTGCAGTTACTCCTGATGTAAGGCACCCAGTCATCCTACCAAAAAACTCTCCACTTGCAAAATTAATCGTCCACGATATTCACGAGTTCACGCTACACTCTGGACCCCGCATTATGCAGACCGTCTTGCAACGCCGATACTGGCTTATTGGTGCTCGCAGCCTTATACGTAGCATATATCATAAATGCGTGAAATGCACCCGTTTAAACCGCAATCTCGCAACACAATCTATGGGAGATTTACCTGCAACTCGTACCACCTACGCTCGTTGCTTTACCCGCACCGCTGTCGACTTCGCTGGACCTTACTTATATAAGTTCACCCATGGTAGAGGAGCGAAGGCGACCAAGGGCTACATTTGCTCATTTGTATGCATGTGCACTGGTGCCATGCACTTGGAGTTTGTTGGAGACCTGTCAACACCAGCGTTTCTGAATGCGCTCAAAAGATTCATAAGCCGCCGGGGCTACTGCAGAGTCATGTCGTCTGACAACGGCATGAATTTCGTCGGCGCTGAGAAAGAACTTCGAATTGCATTCCAGCGGTGCATGGCAGATGCTAAACTACGTTCGTTCTTCGCCGACTCAAACATCGAGTGGCGTTTCAACCCTCCGTCTGCACCTCATATGGGTGGATACTGGGAAACAGGCGTCAAGCGCATTAAGTATCACCTTAAACGCGTACTGGGTGCAACTCTACTGTCCTATGAAGAGTTCAACACGCTGTTTACAGAAGTGGAAGCCTGCGTAAACTCCCGCCCGCTCTGTGACAACTCTTCAGCTGCTGATGACTTAGAGGTCCTAACTCCTGGTCATTTTATTATTGGCGAACCACTGAAGTCAATCCCAGAACCTGAGGGTCAAGGGTTCTGTGGAAATCTTCGTCAGCGGTGGCAAACTATTTCTGCCATGAGGCGACATTTCTGGCGCCGTTGGAGAGACGAGTATCTCGTCAGTCTACAGCGTCGCACCAAGTGGTTTCGTTCCTCGCGCAACATCGAAGAAGGTGATGTGGTTGCGGTCTGCAACGAGCCTACCCCTCCGACGAAGTGGGCGCTGGCAAGAGTTACTAAATGCCATCCTGGTGTTGATGGGCGCGTAAGAGTGGTTACGTTGAAGACACCGCAAGGCGAACTAATTCGGCCCATAGTTAAGCTCTGCCTCTTACCAACGAAAGGAGATATATTTCATGAAGAAGTCTAGTATATACTAACTTATCTATAATTTTGATTTGAATTTTTGCCAGTATTAAATTGTTTATGCATTTGTAACTTTTATATTGAACGTATCAAGATAGTTCAAGCGCGGCGCTATGTTGAGTTCATGTATGCATTTTCTCAAGTTTATTAGTTGTATGATCACATAATGGTTAATATCAGCAATGTAAGCGCATACGGGTTAACGACTTTGACGTTCTTTTTGTTATGCCCTTTTTGGTTTGTACATTTTTGCACATTTATAATCACTAGTTAGTTAATACCCGCTCGCTAAGCATCGTTTTTCCGCAATCTCCGCGAAGTTCACCCGCTTAATATTTCGTAGTTTATCTAACGCTTTACCCGCAATAATTATTGTACAAATTTAGCGCTATTGTTAGTGAATAGTAAACAAAAACGAGTTTCATACGCAATTCGCCGCAACAATTACAGTCCAATATCTTGTGAACCTAGCAGCAAGTAGCGATGCAGCCACTATTACAGAAGCGCTTAAGGTATTAAACTTTAATGCAAATCAGTAGACAGCGAGGCAACGAAATGCCAAATTGGCGCAAAGGCATCATAAAAGAAGAAATAAGCGAATTTGACCAAAATATATGTGCGAGAGTGGTAGCATTTTGCTGTGTCGCCCGAAAACCGGACCGTTGCCTATTGGGATATGTTAGGCCTTTCAGAATGAGTCAAACCACGCCAACTGTGTCAATGAATTTTCATTGATTTTCTGGAAAGTGAAGACAATTGTGGGAATCTGTATATAATTATAGAACAAAAATACACTTTGGACAATTTTTCCCTTTACAATAAAAAGATTTCCAGAATAAAATTTGCAAAACAATTAATTCTTTAATAACAATAATTTAAACAATTGCAATTATTTATATATTCTAGGCCCGCGATTGCAGTGAAATTTTGGCACAATATACTCTAAACTCTTGTTTTTAAATTCCAAAAAGAAAAATTGGTCTTTCAATTTTGACAGTCGCTATCGATTTTTTTCTCACCTTTAAGCCTTGAGTAAATAGTTATTTTCATGTAAGCTTGTGTGAGTGATAGCATTTTATTTTAGTTAATGAATAATTATACAAAAACGTACATTATTTAACGTATAACTTGAAACATCAATGTTTATTTACAACTTATGTTTATTTACAACTTGAGAAAAAAATCGATAGCGACTGTCAAAATTGGAAAGACCAAGAGTTTAGAGTATATTGTGCCACAATTTCACTGCAATCGCGGGCCTAGAATATATAAATAATTGCAATTGTTTAAATTATTGTTATTAAGAATTAATTGTTTTGCAAATTTTATTCTGCAAATCTTTTTATTGTAAAGGGAAAAGCTTCAGCAACTCTCAAAAAAAAGTTCATCAAATGGGTCGCGAGTTACGAATTTTTCTCTCAAAAATTGCAATATTCTTATAATACCAAAAAAAAACAAAACGAAGTGCAATTTCGAAAAACCGTCCAAAGTGTATTTTTGTTCTATAATTATCTACAGATGTCCACAATTGTCTTCACTTTCCAGAAAATCAATGAAATTTCATTGACCCAGTTGGCGTGGTTTGACTCAATGCAATAAAAAACATATTTATACCCGAGCGCACTTGTGCACAAGGGTATTATAACTTTGTTCACATAACGGTTGTTTGTAACAGGCAAAACGAATCGAGATAGATATAGACAAATGTATACATAAATGATCAGAATGAAAAGAGAAATCGATTAAGCGGTGACTGTCTGTCCGTCCGTCCGTCCGTCCGTCCGTCCGTCCGTCCGTCTGTCCGTCTGTGCACACGATAACTCGAGTAAAAATTAAGATATCTTAACGAAACTTGGTACGTGAACTTCTTTTGGGCGTAGGACGGATGGTATTGAAAATGGGCGAAATCGGACAATAACCACGCCTACCTCCCATATAACGGTAATTTTAAAAAATACGAAAACTGCGATATTTTAGTAACTACTGAAGATAATTCACTCAAAATTGGTACTTACAATGAGTCTCAGACGAAAAACATGAATATTATAAATTTTTGGAAAATGGGCGTAGCCACGCCCACTTATGGTTACATGTGTATATCTTGGTAACCGCTGCACCAATTTCTTCCAAGCTTGGCACAGTTGTTGGCCTTAGTACAGCATACTAAATGGCTGAAAAGTTTAAAAATCGGACAATAACCACGCCTACCTCCCATATAACGGTAATTTTCACAAAAACGAAAACTGCGATCTTTTAGTAACTGCTGAAGATAATTTGCTCAAAATTGATACTTGCACAGAGTTTTAGACGAAAAATAAGAATATTACAAAATTTTGGCAAATGGGCGTAGCCACGCCCACTTATGGTTACATGTGTATATCTTGGTAACCGCTACACCAATTTCTTCCAAACTTGGCACAGTTGTTGGTCCTGGTACAGCATACCAAACGGCCGAAAATTTCTAAAATCGGACAATAACCACGCCCACATCCCATATAACGGTAATTTCGAGAAATGCAAAATCTTCGATAAATCAGTAAATATTGAAGCTAATTTATTCAAAATTGATGGTTGCAACAATTCTTTACCAAGAAATACGTTTATGACAAAATTTTGGAAAATGGGCGTAGCACCGCCCACTTGTGATCACATATATGTATGTATCTCGCTAACCGTTCTAGCAATTTGTACCAAGCTCGGTATGGTTATTGTGCTTGCCACATAAAAGCAAACCGTTGAAAATTGTTGAAATCGGACTAAAATTGAGGCCGCTTTTCATATAACGGTAAATTTCAGAAATGCTTGAAATTTCAATATTTCGAAATTTAAGGACGCTAATTTACTTAAAATGTATACACCCCGGCTTATCATGTAGCGGTAGCTTTCGGAAAGGAGGAAAACATATATTTAATACTTGCGCCGGGTATTTAATGTTCGGCTCCGCCCGAACTTAGACTTTCTTACTTGTTTTAAGTTTCAATTGAAGGTTATTTGGTCTGACAAGACTCAATTAATTGCTTTCAATCAGATGGCCGGGCATGGTATTGGATCAAAGACCCAAATTAAGCCCATGCGCCACATGTGAGGCAAACTGTGAATCACTGTGGTCGGTCAATAATAGTTTGGGGTTGTATTTAAACAGTTTTGTGGGTCCGTTAGTACGCATTATGCGTAAGGAACAGTATCTGTTCATATTTCAACAAAATTTGCAAGATGTAGTCGAAAAATGAAAGTTTCTGCTGAAAAATCACCCAAAACATACCGCATATGTTCGCAAAGACTGGATACAAAATAAAAAATTTGCTAATTTGAAATAACCTCCACAATCCGCGGACATAAATCTCATCGAGAATTTGTGAAATCAACTAGAAGCACAGCTTATTAAGTATCCAAGTCCGTATAATCGAGTACATGAGCTGTGGAAGCAAACAGAGGATATATGGAGGATATACCTCCAGAAGTTTTACAGAGATAAAAATAAGGTATGCCAAATCGCACCCAGAAACTAAAACAAGCAAAATGGTACTGAACATTGTGTTAGTAGTCCTTTTTTCTCGTTAAAATTGTTAAGTTCTTAAAAATATATGAGTGCAAAACTGTAACATCTGCCTTAATTAACATTTTTGTCTGCTGGTTTTATTATTGTTGTTGGATTGACTTAAAATCATTATGAGAGAGGAAGTGCAGGTGTACCAATAATAACATACAACAAAAGTATGAAAGTCGTTAGAACTTGGAAAGATAGCGATGACTGAAGTAAAAAGTGTTACACCATGTTACAGTTTTGCCCGTCACTGTATGTGTATACCTCAGACCTTCTTCTTTTCGCCCATCCATCACCGCCAGGCGTATTTAAGCCTGCATTCTTAATATGTATACGTAAATTTTACGTGTACGCCGCATAAGAAGTATCGTTACTTTTTACCGTTATGCCCTATCGCTGTTTGCGCTCGGCAGTGCTTTCTTTATATTATTAGGATCTTTCCCGTACAACCTGGGCCGGATCCGGTAATTAGTGAATAAGCGAAAAATTTGCTCTTAAAAGTGGAACAATGCGCAGAAGTACGGAAACGCAAAACACCACCACTGCAAACACTTGGAAATTTAATTTTGGTTTCACAAATTTGATTGTATTAATAAAAAAGTTTATAAAGATTAAAAATACATGTAAACACAAAACAGCTGATATGCATGTTGACAATGGATCCAATTTCACCCGAAGAAAAAGTCCAGGCTGTTTCGGGCAGCAAGAAGAAGACACTTACGATCCAATACGTTACAATTTTCGCTCTCTATTACCCATTTTCTGAGTACGGGAATGATTTCCCTGCTGCTTTGTGCACTCGCGGGATCCCGCGTTGCGTACGGGAAAGAACCTATTGTTGCATAAGCAAGTGAATAACTAAGCGATTTTCAGTCCGCGGTATGCTTTGATAAAAACAACGTTTTTTCTTCACTGCTTTGCCCTACGTTTCGCTAAACTCCTTAGCATCCTCAGGGGCCAATCTTTATTTTAGATTAACAAACAAAAGAAGATACAAACAAAAACAATTAGGAACAAAAGTTACATGGAACATGTAGTTAATAAAGTCTCAATAT